CAATTTGTTCACAGAATCGCCAATATAAAATATAAACCTAATAGAAAGGATGGGGTCAAGGAAGTTCATCGTATTTGGGAGCCCATAAAAATGACTTTTTTGATTATTGGAATGTCACTGGCTATAATTTCTCTATTATTCAAGGCACCCGGTCACCTTTCCCCTAAGGTGAGGCAGTTGAATGCTAACAATGTTTTCCTTTCATAATGTGTAAAGTGTGATTTATTGTCTCTTTCTAAAGTTCTGGCAAGCTTGTAATTTTGGTTATTCTTGAGTTCTCCTTCAGACTACATTATCAAAGAATACAAGTTCCGAAACATTTGTCAGGTGTAGACACCTAAAACCTTGGGCACAAGTCTTGCTTTAGTTGTAAGCTGCTGTCTCTCTCTCTCTCTCTCTGTCTTTCTTCCCCGATCTATTATGTTTTTCTCATCTTTCTTTCTTCAATTTTTCTCTTTGGGCTCAAGCCTCCCATTATAACTTCGTAAATTTTTATGGCTTAATGCTGAGTGATCATAATTGTTCTTCAAATGTTAAAGCATGCTCAAGAATTGCGGTTTCAATTTTTCGTACTTTTGTTCTCCAAGCTTTGAAACAGTCTCTTTTTGTCTCTCTCTACTAATTTGCTCTAAGAAATTTTGATTTAATCTCTTCTCAGCCTTTTTCACTCAGTCAAGAGTTGGAAGCTATCTAATGCAATGCTCCAGACCAGCCTACCATTGGTTCTGAAACGTTCTAAATAATTTGGATATATTTACAAGGCAGCTGAATGCTAGCGTTGAAGCTTTGATGCAATGATGGTTTTCATCTTCATTTCTCTTCTATTATTTTTTGCTTTATTTCTTCAGCGAGGATTTCTGCCACCTCCAACGCCAAGTTCGGTTTTGAATTCTATCTGGCCACAATTTGCTGCTTGTGTCGATTTCCTCACTATATTTTCCAGTAGGGAGCTAGAATCTCTTGCTAGAGATGACAAATACTGAGCTACACGCAAAGTATAGAAGGATGAAAGTATTTTCCTGTCTTAATTACCTGGTTCCTGATCTTCTCCCTTGCCTGATACCATAAGACACGAGTGTTTTTCTTTTATATGAATTCTATCCAAAATCTGTATCTATCTTCTCGATAAAGTGAATTAGACAGAAAACTTGTCTGGAGGCTAAATACGTTTCTGTTCTCAGAGTTATCTATGTTGTCATATTCTTGTATAACGTTCTCTTTCTTCACGATAGTATTGGTGTGCAATACCTTTGGCTGTTATCCTAAATTTTCTGTTCTGCTCTGGACTTCACTTTCTTTACATTCGGTCTATAACTGGACTAAATTTCGTGGATGCACAATTTCACATTATTTATGTTTGAGAGAAGAATATGAAAATGCCAGAATATTAACAATTTGTCAACTCCGTATATATAAATACAAAAGGTCTAAATTATGTGCTAACAGAAGCTCAATCTGAGCAGAAAAACTAAGTTGCATTTACTACGTCACTCTTTATAAGTGATCATATTGTTGCAGCAATAGTCTTCGATATCACACATAATTTTGAGAAAGGAGTCGAGGGATCATCATGAACATAAAATACATCAATGCCCTCGTTGACTGGACTTTCATATGAGTAGGTCATGCATTAAAATGCCCCAGCCTCAGGAAAAGGGAAATGTAAAGACCATAAATAAAAGATCACTAACTAATAACATCAACAGAATTTTTAGCAAACCAATCTTTTGCAAAGTTTCTGGCTTTGAAGTGAGTTCAAAACTCTAGAAGTATTTTACTTCCCATGGAAGTCGATTATGTCTTTAGAATGGACCACCATTACTACCAAATGAACTTCCAAGACTTGGATGATAAGATTGATTGACAGAAAGTTTAATTGTGTGCCTCCTGGATGATTTGTGTATGTCAATACATTCTTCGAGATCTGCTTCACATGTCAAAAGGACCCACTCAGATTCGTCATCCAAATATTTTAGGTCAACCTTATTGACATCATCTATATTGAATCGCCTAAAAATTTCTTCTTGTAGATCTCCAAAACCCCAGTTTGGTTGCAGACTGAAACGGATCTTTTCTTCCCCAAAACTGGCTTTTACTCTAAATTTACTCGCATCACGCAACACCTGGCTTCTACTCTTTGGCAGGGGAGGTGGAGCCTCAATAGATGCATGCTCACTGATTATCTTATGGCTTTGGGATCTAACCAGAAGCTTTGTATCATCGTGGCCCAAGTCGAGCAATTCTGCATCACTCCGTGCTCTCTTTAGCATCCCTCCAGTCTGTTCCGCTAATAAAGCATTTCCACTGCTGGAGACATTGACAGGGAATGATGATTGCTTCACACCTGTAGAACAGCAGAAACTTGAACTGGAGCTATGACTACCAGAAGAAGAATGTGATTTTGAAGCAGTGTTTTCCGGGCTTAGTAGGCTGCCCTCAGGTTGTCTGTTCAACTGTTCTAAATGATCACTGCTTCCTGGTAAATTTGAGGGTACAAGTTCTGGGAAGTTGTTGTAGAAAGAACTAAGCTGAATAGAACCCTCGGCACCCTGAACTGAATCTATCACAAGTTGAAGTTTCCTCAATGAGTGACCAACTTTTTTGATCTTTCGAGAGGGCCACCTTGTGATTCCATGCTGTCTGCATATTCTTTTCAAGGTTGTGGGACACACTGCAAGCCGAAAAAAATGGTCATTTACACTGAGATGGAGATGCCTCTGCAATAAATCATGTAAGACTAACATCTCATACCAGAAAATCCTACTAATTTTTCAACGAAAATAGCCCTATAATTTTACAAGTTCTCATCAAAATTCACATAATACTCTTAGACAGCCAATATGAGAGTGGATGCAAAGGGTTTTCTATCAGCTAATATCCTACTCATAATGCATCTGAAAGCTCAGAATGGAGGGATAAAAGCAAAGTTTGCCAGCACAACTAAGGTTCTAACTTATCCATCATTTATCATGATATGCAGGGAAGCTTATCAAAGAAATGAAGGCCAGAAGAAAATCTCTCTTCTTTGGTGAAAATGTAGGTTAGTAATCATATTTGAAAGTGAAAATATATTTGAAGGCCCAAAACTTCTATGCAGAAAGTGAAAGGTAAAGTCCTACTGAACTCAGGGAATCAGGGATCAGTAACAGTTTGAAGTTATCGTGGAAATTATTTAAGATTAGATACACTCCTTGTATTGAACAAGGGAGAGAGTCAATGACACGTCAAATTGAATCATTAATTAATATAGAAATTCATTTTATTTACTGGTGATGGTGTTGTCATACCCCCAATATTCTTGGCAGCATCTTTTAGACTCCCAGCAAAGTATTGCCGAAGTACTTGCAAGCTAATAGTCTTCTCAGTCTTGGTCCGCATCTTTTCACTTGTTCTTTTAGAACATGAAGACACATGCTCACTAACAAAAGTGAAGTCTCCAGTACCGTCGCCAGTTCCTTTGGATACAGAATCTTGCTGGATGTTATTCTCAGAGGATACCGGCACAAAATTTAACTCCATTCCAGAGTTATCCCATTGTGTTGTCACCTGCAACTCTTCTGCTGGCTCCTTCTTGTGAGATTCCAAAGAAACAGAATTTGGAAATGAAGTTTCTATGGCCAACTCCTGATCCATAACAACTCGTAAACTCTGGCAAGTTTGTTTTATGACAGAGGACAGTGAGTTGAGCATCTCTCTCTGGTCTTCAGAATCTTTGCAATCTGGTGGCAAGAAAAACTCCAAAACAAAATCAGCTGTTCCGGTGTGTGTACTCCTGAGGCGTATTGCCACAGCAGCACACAAGTCAAACATTCTAGCATGATGCGAGAGAGGATATTCCGTCTTGCAGAAAACTGTTATGTCCTCAGCAAAACATGGTTGATTTGTCATGAATGCTTTCCCAACAATGCCTTCGCCTTTAAGTAAGTGATGCTCTGAGCATGCCTCATGAAAGCCAACAACTTGTGGATCAGCCACATAGCAAGCAGAGTCGATTGTGGAAACACAATGAATGTAGTTCTTATCAGAGTGCCGGCACCCGCCTTTACCCTGTTGAATACATGGCGCCCAAGCCTGTGCCAGAGGCAATTTATGTGTGGTGCAGACACATTTCAAGACATCTTTAATCTCTGTCAAAGCAGCTCGGTAAGGCTCATTGCAATCCTGATACAAAATCACAACTGCACTATTAGGAACTACTGTACATCTGTAGATGATATAATACTCAGTGTAAACAGATTTTAACTACCCCTGCTTTCAGTGAACACGGGATTTCAGAACTCTTTAGATCTACAGCCTGCATGAGAAATTTTAGTTAGATACAGAAAAATTATGTCCTTGAATTTAGTACATGATAATATGCTGAACACGAAAGAGAACACATTAGTACACAAGGGCGGGGATGTACCGCCTTATAATATTATTTTATTGAAAAATATGTGATTGATAAGAAGAGACAAAAAATGAAATTATAATTTAACGGGGAATAATGGGGGTCAAACAGGGGCTTCCTTTTGCCCGTCCTAATATTGTATTGAAGCACTTCATCAAAAATCTTTAATCAGTAGAAAGGAACAAATTTATATTTTGAACTTCTGTATCAGCATGACCCATAGGCAGAATACATGCTCCTGAAAGTTTTAACTTATGGTGCCATACATATTGGCTTGACTCTCAAACAAATTATGCATAGGTGTTGGTAAGGACCATTGTTCTTCAACCAAGTTTAATGGGAGTTTTAAATTCTTCATGATTGAACAGAAAATGAAACTGAAAACCAAGTTAGAACAGAGAAGAAGACCCGACCTCCAGAGCTTTGCAGACGTTTTCAAGTTCAGGGGCTTTCTGACTTGTTGTCAGAATCTCGACGACTCCCAAGCAATTGCCACTGCCTCTTTCGAAAACAGGAAGTGCAAGTGATCCGCTAACATTGTATTGCTGTGCATGATCAACGCGTGGATATTCCTCTCGTTTGAAAAAGCGAACATCTGGAGTCCATTCTGGCAACTTATTCAAGAAGACACGACCGGGCAATCCGATGAGATCCTTAGAGTCCTCCTCTGCTGCAAATTGATAATTTCGGGAAACATCTCTGTATTCTGCAAGACTCTTGCTGTTTGAATTCAAAGAAAATGGTTGATTGTAAGTTGTGAGGACATGCCTGCCTCCTCTTTTTATGGGCACCCAAATCTGAATAAGGACATCTTTATCTCTTGTGGAGTCTTTCAGGTACTCAATAGCCTGCACCAATCTCTTCTTCGGTGAGATAGTACGGGTTGGATTTGTACTTGATCCAACCCATAACCTTCTATTTTCTTCGGTGCCTTCAACCCTAGATTTGGTTACGGGTGTTGAAGGAAAAGGGCCTTGCTGGTCTTGCACTTGACTTCCAGTAAATTCATCCATTTGGGAAGAGTTAAAAGTTGGATTATCAATGAAATTTGGTCTTTCAATTTCTTTTAAGAAACTTTCCTGATGTGGGGTTGAGTTCAAATTGCCTAAGTTAGTATCTGAAGCAGTAAAGTAGTATGGAGTAGAAGTTAAATTGGGTGAAGTAGATGTTGCAGGCTGCCAAAAGTTGGATCCATAAGTAGTCTCTAACCAAAAACCGTCATATAAGAGTTCATCCATGAGATTGAAATCAATACTGTTGTTGGATGCACCATCTTCCATGATGAGTACTTGTCAAGCTTCCATTCCATAAAGCCTAGAATAAATTGAGACAAGAAAATCACGATCCAAAACACAGAAGCAGCATAAATATGAAAAACAAGAAGAGGAACTTCCAGGAAGGATTCCTTTCCGTTGTCTTCCAAAACCCATTCAGCCCGGGAGGTAGTACAAACATCGTCTATTAAAAATTCTTTGCAACTGCAATCACAAATGCATTTCAGACGGTAGAAACCAAACACGCCTTCGTCAAGCACAAGCTCAATAGCAGCCAATATTATTTTATTTCACATCAAAAAAAAAAAAGGCAACTGGGATGAAGCTGGAAGAGATTTGAAAGAAATCGAAAAAATATTTCAGGATTCTGAGGGGTAAACCCAACACAAAATCAAATACAAGTATCCAGTAATTCTTTCAGCAACAGTAGAAGAAATAAAAAAGTTTACAAAAATGAAAATAGAGGTGAAAAAATTAGCATAGCAAAGCCACTCACTTTGAGTATATTCTTTGGGAATCCTCCGAGTGATTGATAGATATGATGATTACTGTTGATTGGTCTTCCAGTCTGAGAATCTCATCCACAATAAAAGATGCTTTTCTTTGTTTCTTGGCTGTTGTTTTTCAGGAAACAATGGGTGGGTGTGGACTGACTCAAGCGCTGAAGCAGCTCTTATTATGCAAAAGCTGCTGCTGCTGCTCGTCATGATGGACCCACGAAAAGGACACGGTTAACAAAACTGTGAGAGAATCAAAATTGAAA